TCAAGTTCGCTTTGCACATGATTCCGGAAGCAAGGCAGTAGCATTCTCATCTCTTGATGATGAAGAAGATTTTGTTTTGTGCATTGATGGTGAGGAAGACCAAGTGTTGCTAGCTGGGGGAAGAAATGAGCTAAACCTCAAGGATCCCAAATGGACAAGCCCGACAGGTAGACAGAAGCTTCTTGAAGGGGTTAGGAAAGAAGTGCAAAATGTTGTAGAAGATAAGTTGGCCTTGAAACCTTTGTCCATTGAGCAGTCCAGAACGAGAAGGCAAACAGAGTCCGACCGTATCGTGCCCAGCAAACTTGTCCTGGTAGAAAAACAAGATGAATCGGATGCGAGCTTGTGAAGGCCAGATGGACAGCCAGGGGGGACAAGGATCCCGACTTGATAGCACTCATTCGGCAAGGCAGCGCACAGTCACCGACCATCTCGTCGAACGGTAGGTACACTGTTTTGCAAACCATAGCTAGCCATGGTTTTCGCATGCAATTAGGAGATGTGACCGGTGCATTCCTCGAGGCCGATGAAATGGAAAGAGGCGCAGGAAAGCTATACATGGCACCCCCCAAGAACTTTGCCTTACCAGACCATGACCCCGAACAGCTTTTTGAAGTGATTCGACCAATCTATGGACTGAATGATTCGCCCCAGAAATGGTTCACCAAGTTCGATCACACGATTCAGAAACTCGGTTGGCGTCAGTCAAGACTAGATCACTGCATATACTTTTTGTGGGAGAACAAATGTCTGAAAGGCGTTCTTGGTGTGCACGTTGATGACGTGCTATTAGGCGGCCATGGAGAGAAAATTTGAAGCATCAATCACAAGCCTGCGTAACACCTTTCCGTTCAGAAAATGGAAGATCGGTGCTGGGAGTTTTTGTGGCTCGGAGCTGACCCAATGCGACCAGACTGGAGCGATCACTGTCAGCCAAGAGAAGTTCATTGAAAAACTCGAAAAACCGAAACTCAGAAATCGTGAATCACCACTTGTTGAAGTGACTCCAAAGGAAGCCTCATCTCTGAAATCTGTTTTGGGTGGAGCTCTTTGGCTTGCTCGAGAAACCAGACCTGATCTCGCTGTACAGGTGAGCCAGGGGCAACAGCTTTTGCCCAAACCGACACTCGGTGCTGCTCGAACGATAGGAAATGTTGTGAGGAGAGCTAGACAATACAAGACCATGGTTTGGAAGATCCTCCCAATTCCCATGTCCGAACTTCGTTTGTGTTTGCACACCGATGCAGCTTTTGCTAATGCTAAGAAGCAGGGGACGCAAGCTGGTTATTTGGTAGGGGTAACAAATGACGACTTGCAGGCAGGGAAACCTGCCCCGTGGAGCCCGTGTGTGTGGAAGTCTTATAGACTCAAGCGAGTCGTGGGTTCGACTTTTGCAGGGGAGTCACAGGTGCTCTCGGATGGGTTGGGACATGCAGAATGGTTAGCATGTGACCTTGCAGAAGCTAAACATTTTGATTTTCCTTTGTCCAGACGTCAGCAAGTACTAGGAGAGTTCAAACTGCAAGCAATAGTTGATTGTAAGAGCATCTATGATCACCTCCAGAACTTTGCTTCACCCGGAAGCGTCGGCGACAAGAGAGTCGCGATCGACCTTGTGATCGTGCGTGAAACATTGGCTCGAATTGGGGGTGTGATCAGGTGGGCGCCCACCTGGCTGCAGTTGGCAGATGCTTTGACTAAGGAAGCTCCGGAGGCCATGGATTTACTTAGAGCAGCTATGAACTCTAATAAATACCATCTAAATAGTGAGAGTACTATGATGGAAGCTGCAGCTAAGCAAAGACAGGTCCGTTTGGCACGAAAGGCTACATGTGAAGGTGAGGCCCAAGAAACCAAACATTCGGAAACGCCGGTGCTTTTCGTTAGTCAGCAAAACATCAACATGGTGAAGATCGCAGTTGAATGAAGAGGTTCGTTCGCTCTTCGAACGTATGGTGAGTGGCTGCGTGATGAACGGAGATGATTTCACGAAGTGCTTGCAGCAATCACGTTCAATGTGCAAGGCCAGAATCCCGGCCTACCATTTCAATGGTAAAGTGTTCGGTGGAGATGACAGCGTCCTCACGCTGACCTTCACAAAGAGCACCAAGATGATCCAAATCCAAGGGAGTGCAACCCTCTTGGACAAGGCTGAGGAGACGTTGAAGAAGATCATGGCAGTGTACTCGAATGTGCTCCGTGGCGGTGAAGTACTCCCTCTACCAGATGGCTGCCAGAAGTGGGGAACTGCCATCAAGGAAAGCCTCGATTCGGGATCCATTTCCCACTATCTCGAGAGCCTCCGTGCCGAAGACACGAAAGGAGATTCCTCGATTGTGAAGACAGAGATGGTGAAGAAGCAGATCCTCGTTCCCGAGGACGAGGCCTTTCAGGCAGCAGTGGCCGATCTGTGCAACGAAGGTGCTCGCAAGTTGTTCCACTACCCGGCATGGCGTAACAAATTTTTACAGTTCACGCTTCAAGAGTTTAATGCATCGACGGATCAGGTCTTGGAATTGGCTGAGTTGGCTGAAAGCCTTCGCGAGCAAGAGACTGTGGATCAGTGGACCTTCGAAGAGGGACCAATGACTGAAGGACCAATGACCGAGGCAAAGCCGAAGGCAAGGTCGGATGGGTACCGTCCGCACCGTGGCACTCAGGCCAAGAAAGAATTTTGAAGCTGTGTGAACCAGCCATTGGCCTGAGGTGCAGTCATGTACCGTTGCTTCGGTTCAAAGGTCAGTAGCTCCAATGCGCCAGGCGGCGCGTGGTTGGTGCGACTTGGCATGAGCCTGGAAAAGCTGCGCGTTTGATCGAGTGGATTTCGTTCGTTGAGCATTGTTGTTGGAAGTCAAAGGATTGACACCAGTTGCTTGTGTTGGGGCTGCCAGTTCAAACTGGTAGCGCGGAGCCCTACGGGGCCCGCTTGGGATAAAGGAGACATGTCAGAACAGGCCAGAAATGAATCGGCCATCCGTCGCTTCAATGGAGATGGACAAGACCCTCAGAAGGACTATAAGCTGTGGAAACGTTGGTCACGTGCATATTTGGCTGTACAGCGTGCAAAAGGAACTGATGAAAATGTTTTTGGAGCAATGCTGTTTACAATGCTGGATGGAACTGCACTTCGTGCCTTCGATGCAGTCAATATGGATGATTTGGAGCAGTCAGGGGGTCAAGACCTTGTTTACCAGGTGTTGGACGAACGGTTTCCGGAGGAGGCTGTTCACGACCGCCTGGGAGAAGTGCTGGATAAGATCTTTGACTTGAAGGTGGAAAAGGGTGAATCTACGTCAGGTTACACTGGCAAGGCACGAGCAGCATTCTCCGCTGCAGAGGCTGAAGGTGTCCGCCTGCCGTCAGTGGCTAGAGGATACCTGCTGCTGCGATTCGCCAAGCTACCTCAAGACAAGAAGGCCGTTGTCATGGCTGCGGCAAGACAATCTTATGAATCATATGAAGAACAAGACATCGCTGCAGCTCTCAGGACGACGTATCCTGAAGGCCTGTATTCCGGTCGTTCTGGAAGTCATGTCGCCACAGTTGAACCTCTGCAAGAAGAATCTGACGTGGGTGACGTTGGTGATGTTTTCCTTGCTGAGGACGATGAGGGCCAGGTTGGGGATGATGACCCAATTGAAGAACAAGATGCCATCGATGTTCTTCTGACATGGAAGCAAACACGACAGAGCATCAACAAAGAAAAACTATCCCGCGGGCTGAACTCAGGAGGACTCAAGAAGCTGGAAGCCCGGGTGAAGTGCTACAAGTGTCAGAAAGTCGGACACTTCTCTCGCAATTGTCCGCAACGCAAGGGCAAGGCGAGTGGCAAAGGTGACACAAGCAGTGGCTCAACCAGAGTCAGTCTGGTCTACATGGTCGGTGCCACCACCGAGATCAGTGAAGATGACCAGATTGCTGAGGTGATGAGAAGCTGGGCAGATCGACCCAAGGACAGCTGGACAGTGACGGAGAAGGAAGTGGTGAGACATCATGTGAACCCCCGCTCTTCGTTGTTCAGCCCGGCTCGAACAGGTTGCCCAGTGCCCATTGGCCAGTTGAGCATGGCTCGAATGACAGAGATGAAGTACAAGGACGGCACGGTGGAAGAGCAATTCACTCCGAATTGGAAGAACAGCCTTGAGGCTCATCGGAAGACTCCGACACCGTGGACGGGGAGGACAATTTCTACCGTCTGCAGGAACACGGAGCATTGGAAGATGAGACACAACAGGATGGAAAACCCCTGTTCAAGCAGGATGACATCGAAGATGGGCTGGATCATGAGACACTTGGAGATGAACATGTCCTTCAAGCCGAAGGCCAAGAGCATGAAGAATCAGAAGATTGGTCCAAATTCAACGACGAGAAACTGTTCCGCCTCAGTGACCCGCAAGAAGAGCTGGACCAAGAGATCTTCGGCAGAGAGTATGCCTTCCAGGTCGGGGACATTGAGCAGGAGATTGACGAGATCACGGATGCTTTCTTTGCCGAGTCAGCCGTGTGGGATGATCCGGAGCAAGAAGAAGCGGAGACGTTCAAAGAACCTGGCAGTAGTGATGATGAAGACGGTGATGAACACAACCCCAAGAGAGTCATTGTGCTTTAGTTCATGAAGCTGGATATGGCATCTTGGACACGGGATGCGGCAGAGGCCTCATCGGGGCTAACACGTTGGACAGGCATGTCAAGCTGCTGAACGCCAAAGGATATGACATCACCGAACTGCCAGAGAAGATGCACACCTTCAGGTACGGCAATGGCTCAGCCGACAAGACTGGAAGGCGAGTGGAAATCCCGGTCTTTGTTGGGGGCAAGGAGCTCAGAGTGCGCCTCCACGTGGTTCCCGGAGAAGTGCCGCTGCTGATCTCGAAACGATTGCTGAAGAGCCTGGGGGCGATGATTGATTTGAACGACAACAAGCTGGTGATGACCAAGGCTGGAGTTGCAGCGCCAATCCATGAGATGAAGGACAATTCCTATCAGATCAATCTCCTTGATCTTGATAAGAGGACCACCCTGTCGACACCAGAAGTGGATGTGATGCGAGTCGAGCCCTTTTGTGAGGACTCGAGTCAGGAAGAAGATGACCACACCGGAGTTTGTCATGTGTTCAAGGCCAAAGAGCGCAAGCAGATCCTGGAGGGAGTTGGCTCAGTGTTGGCAAATCATGCCGCCAACGCTCCGACCATCGTCGAAGTGTTCTCTCCGGGCCGCTTCCAAGCCATGGCCGAACAATGCGGACTCCAAGGTTGAGGCGCCTTGGACCTGAGCGATGGATGGGACTGGAGGAGAAAGGAGCAAAGAGATAGGGCTGAAACGATCCTGAATCTTGTCAACCCTGACTTTTCCTTGTTTTGTCCGCCGTGTGGTCCGCTTTCGATGATGCAAAATCTAACTAGTGATGCCAAAAGACAAGATCTAGCCGCCCATCAGAGAGCTGTCCGGGATGCGAAAGGTATGGTGGCATGGTCACTGTCAATGGCCGAGAAGCAGATGTACCAAGACAAATATTTTGTTTTTGAATCATCGAAGACAAGTGGTGCATGGAGAACACCTGAAATGCAAACCTTTGTTCGCAAGCATAGTCCTTTCCTAGTTGATGTACACGCATGTGCAGTAGGATTGCATGATCCGAAAACAGGAAAGCTTTTTGGGAAACAATGGAGATTCATGACGAACTGCCAGACTGTGAGGCGGCAGCCCTTGGGCGCCTGACATGCAGCCAGAACCATGATCACCAGATCGTGGAGGGAGCCTCGTACTCAGGTGTATCCAAGTAGATTGATAAAGATAATACTCGGAGCAATGGCACAGCACGATTTTGTCACACATCATTGCCTGGCCGTGAGCCAATCGACTGTGCAAGGTGAGTTGAAAGGAGAAGGTAGGCGTAGGGTTGAGAGAGCCATAAATAAGTTACATGTCAACCTAGGCCGCATCCAAGGCCGACATGATTAGGATCCTAAAGCATCATCATGCTCAGGAGCCAGAGATCGTCAAGGCCTTTGAATGCAGCATATGTCAGGCCAGGGCAGCTCCGAAAGCCGTGAAGGAGTCCGCCCCGCCGAGAGACATGGCACCATTGCGATATGTAGGCATAGATGTGAAACACTTGCCATCCTGGAGGCCGCATGAAAAGGTCAAAGCCCTAAATGTAGTATGCCGCATGTCAGGACTACAGCAGGTGTACCCCTTTCGTGAACAAGAAACGTCGGAAGTGATCGGTAGGCTTTACCGCATGTGGACCAGATCGTATGGACGGCCTAGATATGTAAAGTTCGACGCGAGTAGGTGCAACCTCGGTCAGCAGTTCATTGACATCCTTGAACGTGACGGTACGACGCCGCTGGACATTCCAGGCGAAGCGAGTCGGGGATGGCATTTAGAGGAAGCTTTCCGGAGAGTTGTTGACCAAATGGCTCCAGAGGATTTCAATCAGTGGCAAGAATGTGTTGATGTGACAGTGGAAGCTCGAAATGCACTCCTGCGCGGGGCTGGGCACAGTCCATACCAGTTGGTGACCCAGAGTTCCCCGGCGACGACCTCTGTACTGAACAACCCAACCCAATAAGTAACAGTGCCATCCTTGAAGATGCAGTGGCAGAATACCAACACCGAGCTAGAAGCTGTGCACGACAAGAGATACTAGACCATCGTGCTGCCCGGATTGCTCTGAACGGTCGGCCGCGTCCTCTCAGAGAATTCCGAACCAGAGACGAAGTGGCAATCTGGCGAAGGGGTAAAGGCATTAAAAGGTCTAGTGCACGGTGGAGAGGTCCTGGGATTGTTGCAGGTCAGGCAGGAGGTAACTACTGGGTATCGATGCCAGGTTCATTTGTGAAGTGTTCGCCTGAACAGCTGCGACTCAGAACAACAGAAGAAAGAGAGGCTGACCGATTTCTAGTCAGAGACCTCCGAGCAGCGGCGGCTTCGCTATGGCCTGAAGTAGGAGCTTCAAATCGACCTCATCAGAAATGTTATTTTGACATTACTGCAGAAGATGTGCCACCGGGCGATTTGAGTTCGATACCACAACCTAATGAGGTGCCTGACTGTAGACCAGGTAGTGTTCAGGAGGGAAGACCAGACATGGCCGGAGATAGACCACCTCAGACTCCAGAAAGTGTAGGAATACCCCGAACACCGTCATCCCTCAATCACTACCCAAGTCAGTCGTTAGGTGAAGAAGCCTCTCCAGGTCAAGATGTACAAAGCATAAACAGTAGTGAACGAAGTCTGACGGAACGTCTGAGTCAGCTGTCTGAACACGATCGCA